AGCTGCCGCCCATGTGTGGTGAAGCTGGTGGTATGAAATGCCATGTGATATGTCTATTAGTTAGTGCTTCGCCTATTTTTGTATCATCCAATTCCTTCAATGCTTGCTTCAACTCTTTCTCGGCTGCTTTAAGGTTAGTACCATTATCAGAATAAATGTGCATTGGCTTGCCTCGCCTGGAAATCATTCGCCTTATCGCAAGAATAGCTGAATTAGTGTCCAAACTATTTGCTAGCTCGATATGTACTGCTCTAGTTGTCAAACAAGTGAAGAGTACACCATAGCGTTTTTCTCGCTTTCTTCCCACGGTCACTTCAAGGGGCCCAAAATAGTCCATTCCAGTGTATGTGAATGGTAGTTCGTATGCTGCTAACCTACACTTTGGTAACTCACTCATAATGGGAATTTCTGGTTTTGTTTTGTTCTTCTTGCATTCAATACATTGTTTTGCAATTTTTCTGACTATTCCTCGTACATTTAAAATCCAAAACTTCTGACGTATCTGGTTTATTATGTAATCCTGTCCTAAATGGTTATTGTTTTCATGAAAATGTTTCACCAAAAGATTTGTGAATGATGTTCTTGAGTCCAAAACTATGGGATTTTTCATATCTTCATCAGCAACCTCTGCTAAACTAATCCTTCCCTGCATTCTTATTATTCCATAATTATCCATGAAAGGGGTTAGCTGATAGATTCGACTTGATTTTTCTACACATTTTCCACGTTCCAAATTCTTTATTTCTTCATGAAAGCTATTCCTTTGGATATCCTTATACCATAAGACTTCTGCTTTCTTTATATGTTCTGGTAAAAGATATTCAGAATTGCCCTTTTTACGTAATTTTTCGATAAAAAACAGGATGTATGCGGTGGCTCGTATCAATCTTGTCCAATTAGAAAATCTTGATACATCAGGGAGACCTGTGTTTTTCTCTATAGTGAGTGTTACCCATTCCTTGCGAATTTCCAATTCTCTTTCCATTTTCTTGATTTCCGGTATATATGATTCTTCTTTTGGCCATTCTTCTTCAGGAAGCTTTAAAAATGGGGGTCCTTGAAACCATCTAGATTCAGTACCTACTTTTGGCTCAACTGACCATTTCGTACCTTCATCAGCAATGTTTTCCTTGCTGCTTATCCATCTCCAATTTTCTATATTTGTATTAGTCTGTATTTCTGCGACTCTATGTGAAATATATTGTTTGAATCTTCCTGCATCACTTCTTAGCCAATACAAGACCGTCTTTGAGTCAGACCAGTAATATTTTCTGTAGAAATCTATTCGTGAATTGTTTTCGATGAATTTTGAAATGTTACTTGCGAGCACGGCTGCTTGTAATTCTAACCTTGGTATGGATAGAGGTTTAAGAGGGGCTACTCTAGTTTTAGCCATCATCAAAGCTATATCAACTTTTTCTTCATTTTCTATCCTCAGGTAGGCAATTGCACAGTAGGCTCGTTCACTCGCATCGCAAAATATATGAAGTTGGACAGATGATTGTTTATAAAAAATCTGCGAAAATTGTCTTGGTATTCGCAAACTTTCAATTTTTAGGACTGTTCTTCTCCATTTTTCCCATTTAGCTTGGAAATCTACAGGTAACTTTTCGTCCCAACTCATTTTGTTCTTCCATAAATCTTGCATAAGGATTTTAGCATAAATAAGAATGTTAGCCGCGAAACCAAGAGGATCGAAAATCGACATTACGATCTTCAAGAGTTGCCTTTTAGTTGGTAAACATTTTCCTTCCATTATATCTGTACTCACTGTATGAAATCTCAGTTTGAAACAAAAATCGTCATGATTTGGGTTCCAATGTAGACCTAGCACTCTTTCATATGCTGGTTCAAGTTCTAGATTTGAAGTCTTACTTTCATTTGATCTAAGTTCTGTTGGAATACTATCTAGGACTTGTTTTGAGTTGCAGTTCCAATTGCATATAGTGAAACCTCCTCTTCTATGGATTTCAATGACATTTTTTATTTTTTCAACTGCTTCATCTATATTATCACAACTGTCGAGGTAGTCATATAAGAATATCAAATGGTCGTCATGCTTTTTGGAGCTGTATGTTCTCCAAGCTCTGCTCAAACGGTGAGAAATCGAAATGCCCAGGAGTTTCAAGAGGAATTTCCAGAAGCCGCTGATGCCATAATGAACTACCATTACATGGATGACTACCTCGACAGTTGTGATAATATAGATGAAGCAGTTGAAGTTGAATGGAGAGAAAAAACCACTATGCCTACAATGGACTAACAATCTATCCAACTACCTAGATAGATCCGAAATTGTTAGTCTCAAAATATCAGGAATAATGAAAGACAGCAAAACCTTCATAATGAATAACGTAAGAACTGTTCAAGATTTATCTTTACCAACACAAAACATCGACATTAATGAAATCTCGAAAAGATGGCCGTACGTTAAAAATGTCCCAGTATCCTCCATGAAAAATGCAAAGCCAAGTCTTCTGATTGGTCAAGATAATTGGCCTCTCACAATACCAAGAAGCTACATCAAAAGGGGTTGGAATGATCCAGTATTGACAAAAACTTGTCTAGGATGGGTGATACATGGTAATATTTCCGATGTTGATAAACCAACAAATAATGAATTCATCTATCTGATTTGTGACCACGATGGGAATCCAGACGATGACTTGCATTCATTGGTGAAAAAATCTTTTGAAATTGATGATATACCAGACAAATACGCGACAGAAAAAAGTGAAGAAATGCTGTATTCTGAAGAAATTCTGAAGAATTCTACGAGACGAATAAGCAACACAAAATGGGAAACAGGTCTTTTATGGAAAAAGGAAGTAATACTGCCTGAAAGTAGAGAAAATGCGTTGAGAAGATTGAACTGCGTGGAGAGGCAAGGAAAGAAATAAAGCAAAATGTTTTTCTATCATTTGTCTTTTGATCAAATTTCCGCCACCCCATTTTATTAGATATGCACGTTTCTTACCCCTTATAAATCGAGATGGAGGAGAAATCATCTATTATATCATGACATGGTGGAAACACAATCGTGACAATATCTCATATACCCACTCTTTGATAATCACTTCACTTGAGCTAGCCAGATAACCTAATTACAATTACACCCTGCAAGCCAGAATTCAATAAAGTACCTTGGGATTGAAATGGATATCAAACTCAATTTAAACAATCACACTAAAGAAATCAAAGACCAGTGAAGAACACTCCTAGGTAATGACATAAAAAACAACAGCATTAATGTTCAAACCGACGCCCATGTCATACCTGATCTGTTGAAAATCCATCACCTAGTACCTAGACTACCCTCTTCATAACCCAATAAACAAACTCCAGAGTCATAAAATGAGAACACAACATCAACATTATCGGACCATATTGTGGAGAATATGTAGAAAAATACCAGACACTTCTCAAGTATCCTGAAATTATCATTTGGGAAGCAATCACAGACCTATAGGATCTAGACTGAAGACAAAACATACCTATTATAAATGTTTCTTTCTTTTTTTTCATGAATTTGTACTCTCTATTTGTTCATAGACAAGTTGTGAAGATAAAAAACTAAACATTCCCACTGACTGAAGGACCTTGGTTGATGGCCATTTCAATTATTATTGATCTTTTCACCACCTTTTCACCACTGTGAAAACAGAATCAAAAGTTGCATTTTTATCTGATTCTACAACCAGACTCACTAAACATGTCGTTTATTTGCAACTTTACCGATTTCGGTTGCTACTTTTCATTCTCTCTTACTAAAAGTAATGACATGAAATGACTGTTTTATTAAATTAAATTAGATTGAGGAAAAATGAAACTTTTTGATTGTAGAAGAAGATTAGAAGACATTTTCATTCTGAGTTTCACAAATTTATGATTCCTTCAAGTTAGGTTTCATATTTTCATTCCCAGGGAAGTTTCTCCAGTCACCACAAGCACTGCTCCAAATATTCGTTGATTCCTTTGCCCCAATTGGTCATGTGCATGATGACCGACCCAAAACACAACCTCATTTTTCTTCAAAACATTGAAACACATGTTAATTATTTGTTTACAAAGATATCAAAGGATTGAAATAGTTTTTGACAATATTTTGGCATATGAATGGTGTTTTTTGGGCTATTCTTTAATTCAAGCATGCCATTGAAGATGCCACCACAATGTGCTGTTGTACAATGCACAAAAAAATGCAGGGAGAGATGAAGGAATATGATTTTTCAGGTAGATAGTGATCTCACAGTTTTCATTATGAAATTTTTTCATTAGAATTCCTTCTGCCACTTCTGCAATAGAAGCTAATACTGCTCATAGAGTGAAAATGTCTACAACACACAAGATCTTATTCCTTCAGCAAGTCAGACCAGTCCTCCCATCTGATTGCATGAATCCAATCTTCTTGCATTATTTTAGAAACTTCCTGGGTATTTCTATTAGCTCCTATGCAAAAGGAATTTCAATGAGGAAAGACAAAATGTTGAAATGAAAACTATATGTGAGTGACTATAATGCTTTTAAATCATAATTTACCAGACTGAAAAATCAGATTCCTTTGTCTCTCACTGCACTTTTTGTGTATTTTACAACAGCACAATGTGATGGCATGCTTGAATTGATGAATAGCTGAAAAACATAATTCATGTGCCAGAATAATTAAACTTAAAACTATTTCAATCCTTTGTAAACATATAAGAAAAGTGAGGTTGTGTGTCATTGTTTTACCTCCAGGGTCAGTCATCTGACAAATCATGCAGGCACCCCATATATAAATATAACCTCTTTCATCAGTATCATTTATAATGTGTCAATTCTTTCATGCCAGGTCATTAGGTTTCTTGTTTTATTTGTGAACATCATTCTGTTCCCGCCACCACTACCAGAATGGAACAAATGAAAGGCAACTATTCATTATAGTAATTTTGATTATCCATTTAATGATCATTGCAAAATAACTAAGAGAAGATGAATCAAAATAAAAAAATTCCACATACCTTTGAGCCAGAGCCAGTTTCAGTCTATCATTTTCATATTTCAATTGCATATCAATAGGGTTTGCATTGGATGTCATATAGGATGATTTTTCCATCTTCCCCTGATGGCTAGGGCTCTCATTGGATTGCATACCAGAAATTGAATGACTGCGAGGATGTGGCAATTCTTCTTCAGATTTTGCATTTGGAGTCACAGGCATTGATGGGTTGCCTAGAATGAAAAAAATAAACTGCCAAAGCCAAGAACTGAGATAATCATGATAATATGTTTATTTAATTGCAACCACTCAAGTGACTCATTAGGATTATATTTTTCATTATTGAATTGTTAAACAATAAAGGAAAATCCTGAAAAAAAAAATCATTATCCTCCCAATGTATTTTCATCTCTTTACAAAAACATCTCTTCTGATTATCCACATTAATATTATGAAATAATCATCAAAATAATACACTATATTCTTCCTTTCTTTATCAAAATAATTCATAAGGAAAAATGTGGAGATTTGACTATATTATTAAATTATTGAAAATGTGACTTCCAGTCAGAATCAAGTTCTGGTATAAGGAAGTGTAGTTAACAGTAATACCTAAAACTATACAATTATAATCAACTCATAAATAAAATAATATTTGAATAGAGTAACTTAAAATACCTACAATAATACCAACATACAAACTGCCTTACAGATTGTAATTGCCTGGTGACATAGGCATTTTATTGATGAAAAAAGTAAAATAATTCCATACAGACAGAAGCACCTGAATCATTTCAATATTGTTATCATTGTTGTTAGGTACTGGTTACTCAAAAGGGTATCAATAAGTATTTGAAATTGATTAGTTTATTCAGCCTAAATTGTTATCACTAATACTTAGAATAGCTACCTACTAGTTACCCAAATGGGTATCAATAAGTATTTGAAATTGATTAGTTTATTGAGCCTTATTGATAATTAATAATTCAATAAGTACTTAATATTATGCCACCAAAAAGGGCCTATTTTCAGAGTGCTGCTTGGTGATTTCTTTGGTCTTCAATTGATTGGTACCAGAATCATCTATCTCCAAAGTTTTAGTAGAATCTGGTGATACATTTTCATTATTCAAGTTCAAATACCCAAGTGGAATTCAAAATAATAATGTCAACATACCAGGTGGCTCCAACAAGTTGTCTGAAGAAGAATCTGGTGCTGCTGCAGCAGCTCTGGCAGTAATAGGACTTGCATTTGCGCTAGTGACAGGTGTGACAGCAGCCCCACCATTGGCAGTTACTTTGCTTATTGCAGATCTTGTTGCTTCTTTAACTTCATTGAATTTATCAATGAACTGAAGATAAATCCATTATGTGAGTTGTGTTCAAAAGAACAAGGTTTTACTAGCTTACCTTTTGAAGTTCAGCTTCAGAAGAAAACCCCAACCCATATACAGTATTTGCCCTAACATCAGACCACTGACCAAATTTTTGGGAAGTCTTAGTGAATGTCATGTTAGGGGTAACAGTACTGTTTATCACTGCTTTTTGGCCTTCAACACTTATTATTCTGTATAAGCTTCTAGAGGAATCATAAAAAAAAGAAACACTAACAGCAGAAGTTGAAGCTGGCATCCATGATCTCTTGGTTTTTGGATCAATGTGGAACACATGGGCTTTGCATGTGAAGATAGGTTGTTCACTGGAAAACAAACAAAACAATATGTATAGTAATCATTCATAATTTTAAAGGAATTGAATATACATTATTGTTTTGCATCTATATGAAGTGTATGGGTGTTCAATTGATAAGAATCATTGCGATCAGATTAATGCATTCGATCAATGATTTTTACAAAATAGATAATTACCCCATCGTATCCTTTCCAGAAGTCATTTAAATGCAAAATTGCAATAAGCAATTTACGATTTTACGAAATATCAACACAACTTCTTCACTATTCACTACAAGAGAGTGACAAGACAGACAAATGCGAAACTGACAAGACAAAAGTCAAATCATCATCTTCATCTGTCATCAATTCAACTTGGTATCTTGCACCTTGCACCCAATTACCCAAGGCTATTTAACTCTAAAAGACCTTGTCTTGCACCTGCCTTGGGGATCAAATAAACATAAAATAATTTAAAGGAGGAAGAAAAATCATGGTTATGTAGAAAATTAACCTCTCAAGAAAATCAAGAAATTATATTTGATTAATTTGGTTTGTTTCTATCTTGGTTTCCAATTGAAAATGTCGAAAGCTGCATCCAGATTAAGTACATTGAAGAAAGTTGTTGAAAAAGTAAAACATGGGAAACTGAAAACTAATATACCTGCTGGAATGGCTGCTGCAGGTCCCCCATTGGGGCCCATGTTAGGTCAAGTAAGATTTTTGTCATGTATTTATACGATTATCCAACTTTCTCTTTTCAGAGAGGAATAAATATAGCAGCATTTTGTAAGGATTTCAATGAACGAACAAAAGACATCAAGGAAGGAATTCCACTACCAACCAGGGTCAACGTCAATCCTGACCGGAGTTATGAAATTGTTATACACAAACCCCCAGTTGTATATTTTTTGAAACAAGCTGCTGGTATACAAAGAGCAGCCATGGAACCAGGTAGTTGACATTCAATACTCATCCAATTATTGCTCCTTACAATATCTTGTTTCAGGAAAAGAGACCTCTGGAAAAGTTACTTTGAAACACATATATGAGATAGCCCAAATAAAACAGACAGATCCAACTTTGGAGGTAAAAACATTGGAAGAATTATGCAAAATGATTGTAGGAGTTGCCAAGTCATGTGGAATTGAAGTTGTGAATGATTTAGACCCACAGGAGTATGGTCAGTTTTTGATAGAAAGGAAGGAAATAGAAGAGAGGCAGAAAAAAGAACTACAAGAAAAGAAAGAAGCAAAAATGTTAAGAACTGGATGAATTCAGCAAATTAATAGACTATTTCATTGGTGAAAATAGTGAATCCTCAAGTGATTTTGATACTTGCATAACAGAGTGTAATGTATCAGAACCATTATTAATAATTGGAGGATAGTATGAGTATGAGTGATGTGAAAATAAATGTTCTAGAAAAATGAATCCTTTATTTTCTTCTTGAAAGAATCAAAAACTGCTTGTATTCAGAAATGATTCTAGTCCCATTTGAAATCACAGAAGCCTTTTTCCCTTTTCAATTATTTAACAATTTATAACATCTCATTATCTGATTGGTTCATTTGGTGTCTATGTTTATTTGCAATTTTTTTAGATCTCTTCTCAATATGCTTTTGTAGTTTATTGGTTTTCTTCAGAGTTTCATATTGTTGAACTAAATTCTCCAATTTTTGAACAGCTGAAAGTTTTCAAGATCAAGAATTGTATTCATTTGAATTTAGATTTAAACTCACATTTCTTCTTGTATCTGGGATGTTCTCCATTCTTTAATTTTTCCCTGAATTCCTTTCTCTCTTCATACTTCTGGTTCTGCTCCTTCTCCCGTTTCTCCTGTTCCCTTATTTGATTAGTCTGCAATGTTCAGTGTTCAGTCAAGTATTTTGAAAAGTTTATTCTAGAGTATAATCTCTTTGAAAGTGAAGTGACATTCAACATTTACACACCAAAAGGAGGATAAGAAACCAATTTTAGTTTCAGAAATAGAACATTCAATAGATCATAACAAATAGTGTTTTCAACTTACTGTCCTTTGTATCAACATTTTTATGGTCTTAACATGTTCAGGATTGCTACAATTTTTCAATTCAATTTGCAAATGTTCTTTTTCTTTTATTCTCATATCATTCAAAAATTTATAGTTGGACTTGAATTCTTTCTCCTCAAATTGACCACAGAGTGGATCAAACCTTGGATCTCTGGAAGCAACCTTCTTTGCTTGAGGTATAATAATATGTGGAATAACAGGTGCACCTTTGGGTCGTATCTTTGAACTCATTTCTCTTGGCCTATTTTTATTTGCTCTTTGAAATATGCTCTTGCTTGTTTTCCTCACTTCACCATGAAATGTTTTATTATACAACTTTGACCCCATCTCTTCCTTCATTTTGAGCAGTTCTTCAAAACTGAGGTTTGATATTTCCTGCTTGATTTTGTCACGCTCATCTGTTGTAACCAATTCACTCATTTCTTGATCAGATTCTGAATCCAACGAATCCATATTCATAAAAATTAAAAACTATGTAAAATATTAAAACTTCAAACTGAGAAAACCAATAACCTGACTTACTTTCTTCTTTTTTATTTATTTTTTCTTCTTCTACGTTTCTTGGCCTCATATCCAGAGTTGGACATCCAGCCAATTCATCTTTCTAATCATGCTTTAATATCCAAAATTCACTGTTCCAGGAATGTTCCAGGCATGGAAATGAATGCCTGAGGATCAAAAGAACAATGTACTGAATTAACAGAAACGATTGAGCTTTGAGGTTATTGGTGTACTTTGATTTGACATTTTCTGGAATCTGGAAAACCTAAAATGAAAAATGATCAAAAAAGTAATAGAGTTTACAAGAATATGAGGGATTGTGAGGTGGATCTCTGATGGAGCAAATCAAAACAACACAATGGGTGCTCTATCGAAATTTCTTCTAGTAGCATTCGAAATATCTAATGAGTTGTATGTAGCTGTGGGTGCTGGAGTCTTTGGCATAGTAATTCTGCTGAAACATGGATTTGAAAGTCACCAATGTTTGAAGACTCTATCAGTTATCACTCTGACTACATGCAGTTTGATCTATATTAACAGTGAAAAGCAGAAGATTCAGGCTAGTAAGAAGAAAGTTGTATGTATTACTGGATGTGATTCAGGTTTAGGATATTCTCTATCTCAGCATGCTGTGGATATGGGATTCACAGTAGTGGCAGGATTTTTGAGCCTGGAATCAAAGGGATCCAAGCAAATTCGAAAGGTATATGGCAGTAACATCATCCAAATTCAGATAGATGTTACAGATAGTAGTAGTGTGCAATCTGCTGTTCAAACTCTGGAACATTTTTTCAGTAGGAATCAAGGATATTGTAAGAACCCCAGCTTCTAGTAGGATTCTTAAAACATTCATTGATGTGTACTGTTTTTAGCTTTACATGCTGTGATTAACAATGCTGGTGTTATGGTATTTGGAGAGTTTGAATGGTTGACTGAAAAACTGATTCAGCAGCAGCTTGATGTCAATCTTCTTGGTACTTTCAAATTTACAAATGCTTTGTGTCCTCTACTTAGGCAATATAAAGGTAAGTGGAATGGAAATGAAATTCAGTAGGCACTTATCAAAATGAAAGTGTATAGGCTGCTGACCAGTAGGCTAACTATACTTTTTCTCTAGACTGCTGACCATTCAGTGGAATAAATTCTTTCTGTATTAAATCTGTTGGCAACCAAAAAAATGTATTTTGGGATGTGGACCAGTTGAAAGACTACTTTTTCTCTAAACTACCAACCATTTAGTGGAATACATTCTTTCTGTATACCAAAAAGATCCAAGATGGTTAGGAGCTTAGTGGTTAGACATTGACTCGTCCCATATGGAACAGTTTTTTTTTTAAATTCTTTTTCAATAAATTTTTTTCATCAGATTTGTTTTCCACTAATTGGTTAGTCTGTTTAGGTTGAGTATACTTCACTTTCTTTTTATATTTTATTGTTTTCTAATATAGTTTTTTCCTCCTCCATTGTTAGTTCACAAGATTTGTTTGATCTGGTTTTTCTTCTACCAATAGTAGTGTGTTTGCATAAGTATATATAATTTTTTTCAAATCATGTTTTTTCTTCCTCAAAATTGATAATTTTAGTTTACTGCTCGGCATCCTATACATACAGTATGCTGAACTTCCTATTAAAATTGATAGATTTTAAAAGACCACCTGTTAGAGAGACATTTTAGTTCATTACCTATTTTATTGTTCTCAAAATTATTGTCAACCATGCACTAGAAATGACAAAGATGAATCTACTACTCTTGATCCTTTATTTTTTATATCACACAAGACTGTTAGACAAATGCTGGCAAAAATGTATTTTTCTGCAACTGATTCAGAAGTCGTCCATTTTTATTCCAAAATTAGCTCTTGAAGTTGACATTTCTATTACTGACACAAAAATAGGTATGTTGCTAGGCAACACTTTCTAAAGTTGAATTTTAACTCCTCTAAAAAGGATGTACTAGGTGACAGGGTTGCCAGGAGAGATTTCAACCAAGGTACTGGTTATTACCATTTCCCCTTATTTCCCTGATTTTCTTGGTATTGCCCCATATTGCTCAGCATTGTCCCGTATTGCCCAGCATTTCACAATATTTCCTGGTATTGCCTGGCATTTCCCTTTATTTTCCGGCATTTCCTGGTATTTCCCCGCATTTCCTGGTATTTCCCCGCATTTCCCGGTATTCCCCGCATTTCCGAGCATTGTAAGATATTTTCAGAGTTCCCTACATTTTTTGGTATTTGCAGCATTTTCCCATATTTACTGCACTTCCTGATATGATCTGTTATTACATGACAATAACAATTGTTATCTAATACCTAGGTAGGAATGTAGGTATACCTATCGAGGTAGCACATCTATCTATTAGTATTATCAGGAAAAAAGGAAGCAAGTAGAAGTTCCACATTTCTATAACAATATATAAAAAATGCTTCATTTTAACAATACAGGGTGTTGAAGTTGATAATATTCATAAAAATTCACTGGTACTGTCAAATTATCCAACTTTCAAAATAATATACATACTTATCATGATCATCAAGTATAGCCATTCTCTTGAAAGCAGTCTCCAGGGTTGACGAGAACAAAAATTGGATATGCTTTCATATTTTTCCATAAAATTAGTAGCTTTCCATTCGCCATCCAGGTACTAGATATTCTCTCAACAATGAAAAAAACAAGAGAACAGCTAAATATTGCGACACCGGTTGCCTAGGTCGCTAGGATCCAAGCATCCGCTACTTGCCACACTATAGTGCTACTTACTAATCACCGTTAGGTGGCGCTGCTCCAAAATCCTACCATCCTACCGACACCAGTCAAGCGTTAACGATTTGACGATTCCAGTTCCAAACAAGCGTCTATACTCTCACTGGTGATTTTTGCAGTACCTATGTCCGGAAATCAGAAACACGTGATATTCTCAAAAGTGTATTTTTTACACAGTGCTTTTGTGAAGTACTGAATAGATTCATTTCAAGCCAAAATGTATGTTTCTGAACATCTCCTGGAACAAGTCGATTTTGAATCTCAATTTACCACATTTATATGTAGTTCAGTCATTGGGGATCCAAAATAAGGCTTACCTGGAAAAAAGTCCGGAAGTTTTGAATTTTTGTAGGATTATAGTTTTGGGTGTCCAGAAGTAAAATCCACAAAATGCACATTCCGGGACATGCCGCCGGCGCCGCCATCTTGCCAAGATGGCGCTCAAAAACGGTTTTTTGAAAATATCTCCAAAACGGTGCGTTTTTAGAAAAAATATAAGGACATAAAAATTTAAGATGAAGAAATTTCCTACAAGAAATGTTCCGAGCATATTTCTGCTAAAGAGAGCCGTTTAGGCTCAACAGCTGATTGAATGACAACATATTCTGTTAATTTCTATAAACTGCCCCTAACTATCTCCATATAAGCGTATAAATTCATATTTTATAATAAAACGAGCTATTCAATTTGTTCCTCGTGATATTGGACGATTTTTAGATCAATTATGCGACAAAAATTTTGCATTTGTGACTTGCGATTATTTGGGCGATATAAAAATTGCATTATTGAGTTATGAGTAAATTTCGTACCTATACTATGTATCCGTACTGTAAAACCGCCCATAAATTCATAGAAATTTGAAATTTTGCTTTCTTGTCTTTACCACTCCATCCCAATATGAGTAAATACACAAAATATATATTTCAGATGAGATATTTTTATAAACGGTAAAAACACAAGAACTTTTTCATCAACTAAATTACCTTTCCTAACGAACACAATTTGCCAATCAGTAATTTTACGAGAAAAACGGACATGAAAAAATTGCGAGACCGTATATTTAACCAAGGAAAAATAAAGTTTCTAACAACATTAAAAAAACATAAAGAGTTACAAGATCATATTGAAGTTTTTAAAAATGAACATGCCACCCCTGATCAAGTTGCCTTTGCCGGTGAGAAATTTTTCCTTGCACTCTATGGATTCAAAGACACAAATTACACCAATCTTGATAAATATCGATACCAGTGTTTCGTGAAGTCGGTAACAAAAAGTGAATTCAATTTGGCATCTTTACCACCGACAAGCGCAGCTGCACGACAGCATTCGTTGAGAACTTGCTATCAGGTTCAACTATGGCGTGGTTGTCCGAAAGTAGTTGAATAATGGGGTTGGAAGAAAACACAAACTGGCCTCACTCCAATAACTAATTTGAAAGATCCTGCTTCCAAAGCACTACTTGCTTTATCATCTTGTAAGTGCAAGGCGGCTTGTGGTAGAGCCTGCGGATGCAGGAAAGCAGGATTGCGATGTTCGATGATTTGCGGTGTCTGCAACGGGAAAACTTGTGAAAATATCAGCCAAGTGACACTGGACGAATCCGATGAAGAAGACCTCCATTCGCTGCATGATGATTCTTTATCGACTGCAGAAGAAGAATCCGACGAGTTGAAGGAAATTAACATCGATTCTGGAGCTGAGGTAACCAGTTTCCCCGTTGAATATATCAAAATCAACGAGCCAGGTCCGTCTGGCCTTTGCCAAAAATAATTTCAGTACCTGAGTGGATTAGGACTACAGGGGAAACCACGTTAAGGAAAACGCGCCGTGTACTTAGCCTCTTGGGTGGTGTGGAAACAAGTACAGCATTTAAAATCGAAATTGATTGATCATAAATTATTAACATGGATTAATTGATGATTTCATCGATTAATTGAATAATGGATATCCACCGTTTCGTGATAAATATTTTTGAAGTCGTTGAATATCAGATTTGAAGACCCCTAATACACATATTATTTCCGAAACTCGCCACTACAGAAAACTTACGCAACATTTGTAATTTGATAAGGGCACTTGTGCCTTAACGAGGGTACTTTAGCGAGAATATTCTAGGAAAATATTTTATAGGAAATATCCTCTGTCAGCAAGCTATAAAAATAACGAGAAACCAATTAAATAGCCCGTTTCATTATAAAAGATAAATGTATACGCATATTTGGTTAGGGGCAGTTTATTGAAATTAACAGAATATGATGTCATTCAATCAGCTCTTGGGCCTAAACGGCTCACTTCAGCAAAAATATACTGAGGACATTTCTTGTAGAAAATTTTTTCATCTTAAATTTTCATGTCTTCATATTTTTTCTAAAAACGCACCGTTTTGGAGATATTTTCAAAAAACCGTTTTTGAGCGCCATCTTGGCAAGATGGCGGCGCCGGCGGCATGTCCCGGAATGTGCATTTTGTGAATTTTAGTTCTGGACACCCAAAACTATAATCCTACAAAGTTTGAAAACTTCCGGACTTTTTTCCAGGTAAAAATCCCCAATGACTGGCCTAATGGAAATATTTTTTATTCAGGGTGATCACGTTTTATTAATGACGCCTGCGACAAAATTTTCAAATGGAACGCCTTATGTTAAGCCCTATATTATTCAAATTCTGGAATCTTCATGGAAAGCTAAATTCAAAATATATCACAAATAGGGTTTGTATACAGAGTGCGTCCGTTAAATTGATAGCTTTCATAAAGTTGCTGATAAATTCGTGAAAGATTAAAGACATCATTTTTGAGAAAAAAACGGTCAACGTCGAATATTATTTCTATTCAGGTATTTTTCTAAATAGAATTCATGCATTCAGAATGATTCGTGTAGAAGAAATGACGTAATCGGTATTTGTTTGATAGCAAGCTCATTTTACGAAAGCACTGAAAGATGAAAAATGGCCTACTTAGCCGGGGTCACGTGAGTTTCGCAACATGTCAGAAGCTAAATTTTTCAAATTAATTACTGAAAATAGGTTTATTTGTTCGAATTTCAAAATGTTAACTGAGAGAAGTTGTTTATGAAAAAATCAATTAAAATAAATTTCGCTCCTTTTTTTTTTTATCGCTTGGAGCGCACGAAAGGGAATCCCTATAATGTTCAAAGAACATCGTGCGTTCCTAGGGAGGATAGGGACAGGAGGTAGGTATTGGAATTTTTTTTGAACTTTTGGAGATTATATGTTGTTGGGAATACTTCCACAGGCAATGAAT